CAATACCATCCTGGCTATCTTTCCAGCTTACTGCCATTTTAATTCTTGCAGTTAACGTGTCAAACAAAAAAGGCACACATCAGACAGCAGGAAACTATGACTACAGGAAGCATTGTTTCACTTTCGTGGTAAAAATTATTAGCAAAAAGCAGAATCTCCAACTTGTTTATACTGAGGACTTCAATCGATACACAAGCGGTAAGTAAGCTTTACGAATCATTTTCTTGGTTTGGCTCCCTTGCCTCAAACAAAGAATACATTTGGTTTTGGATTTGGGATGGGAATGACAACATGAGAGCACCTTCTGCTTTTGAAGAAGCTGAATAATAGATTCTAATACAGAGGTAGGTGAACAATGTTAAATATTTTATACATATTTTTGAAACTTCAAATGTATTTCTAGTCTACTACAGGGCTGTAGGGTTACAGCTCACTTGGGAGTGAAAAGTGTAAGCACAGTTTCCCAGATAGTTACTTTATAAATGATCCTCAGTCTGTTGAATGCTTTCGACAGCCATTTTTCTTTGTCATCATATACCAAAGGCCAAATGACACCTGGGTCTTGAAAAAGGGGTGCACGTAAGTCTGAGGAACAACCTCCAAAGCTCAGGCACTTCTGCTAGAAAAAATATTCTGTGTGTTGGGACTGGTGTGTGTATGTTGGTTTTGGATGGGCAATGAGTACAATGTATCATGATGGAAAAACTGGTGTGGTCAATGTCGGATATTGCAGACTTGTTTGGGGTCAACCTTTTCTTTAGAAGTTCCTCAAAACCTCAAAATATTACAGGAAAAAAAACATTTCTGTTCAGATAAGCTACACACATTGAAAGAATTTTGTACATATTTAGAAAGCCCCAATCCTGTGCACGTGCTAAAACTGAGTACTAAGGAGATGGGTCTTTCTAGTAGGACGTCTACAGTATGTAGTATGATCAGTGCCAGTGTTGCTCCTGTGCACTCTCGGAAGACAAGAGTTGTGTTGGAGGTCAGGCAGAAAAAAGGGCTTAAAATGACCTCTGACCCCAACCTATACTGTCCAGTTGAAGAGTCAGACAGCCTCTAGTAAGTTGGCTTGAACAGATGTAATGATATAAGATTCTAGAATATAATAGTGTTCAGATTTTAGCATAAGGCTCCATTCACACGGGGCGTTTTAATAACGCTGGTAGCATTAGCTATGTAAAGTCACGTTAAAAATGCATGTTTTTCAATGTTGTTATAGCATTTTTGCATTAGCGTTTAGCCACGTTTTTCCGCGTTTGCATTTTTAGAGATTTAAAAAAAAAAAAAAAAAAGTTTTGTTCAAAAAAAGTCCAAAAACGCTGGTTTGTCGCATTTTACCGCCTTTTACTGCATTTTTCAGCATTAGAGCATGTTGAAAAACTCCTCTAGAAACCCACTAGTTCTGGGGGGTTTTCTCCAGCCGAAAAACTCCCCTGCCAAAAAATGCTGATTACATGGACACATGATGATAACATGCTTGGGAATTTACTGGCTGTAGAAAAAAATGCCCAAAAGCCAAAAACAGCCGCTGTAAAAACTGCCAGTGTGCATGAGGACTAAGTGTGTGGCCCTGGCTGGTTTCTCTTGACGGTGCACATAATGCCTACTGGGACAAATTTATATACCCTTTTTTTAAACAAAACTGGCGTTTTTACTGCAAGCAGTTACAGTGGGGATGGAAAGTTTGGGCACCCCAGCTAAAAATTTGTATTAATGTGCATAAAGAAGCCAAGGAAAGATGGAAAAATCTACAAAAGGCATCAAATTACAGATTAGACATTCTTATAATATGTCAACAAAAGTTAGATTTTATTTCCATCATTTACACTTTCAAAATAACAGAAAAACAAAAAAATGGCGTCTGCAAAAGTTTGGGCCCCCTGCAGAGTTAATATCTTGTACTGCCCCCTTTGGCAAGTATCACAGCTTGTAAACACTTTTTGTAGCCAGCCAAGAGTCTTTCAATTCTTGTTTGAGGTATCTTTGCCCATTCTTCCTTACAAAAGTCTTCCAGTTCTTTGAGATTTCTGGGCTGTCTGTCACGCACGGCTCTTTAAGGTCTATCCATAGATTTTCAATGATGTTGAGGTCAGGAGATTGTGAAGGCCATGGCAAAACCTTCAGTTTACGCCTCTTGATGTAATCCCCCCGTGGATTTCGAGGTGTGTTTAGGATCATTATCCATTTGTAGAAGCCATCCTCTCTTTAACTTCAGCTTTTCACAGATGGCATCAAGTTACCATCCAAAATTTGCTGAAATTTTATTGAATCCATTTTTTCGTTCTACTCGTGAGATGTTCCCTGTGCCACTGGCTGCAACACAACCCCAAACAATGATTGATCCAACACCCATGCTTCACAGTTGGACAGAGGTTCTTTTCATTTAATTCTGTGCCCCTTCTTCTCCAAACGTACCTTTGCTCATTCCGGCCAAAAAGTTCAATTTTAACCTCATCGGTCCACAGAACTTGTTTCCAAAATGCATCAGGCTTGTCTATATGTTCATTTGCAGAGTTCAAACGATGATTTTTGTGGTGAGGACGTAGAAGAGGTTTTCTTTCCTATGACTCTTCCATGAAGACCATATTTGTACAAGTATCTCTTTATAGTGGAATAGTGTACCACAACTCCAGTGTCTGCCAGATCTTTCTGGAGGGATCGTGCAGTCAAACGTGGGTTTTGAATTGTTTTTCTCACAATCCTGCGAGCTGTTCTGTCTGATATATTTCTTGGTCTTCCAGATCTTGCTTTAACTTCCACTGTTCCTGATGACTGCCATTTCTTAATTACATTCCGAACAGAGGATTGACATATGAAAACGCTTTGCTATCTTCTTATAGCCTTCTCCAGCTTTGTGAGCGTCAACTATTTTCAGTTTCAGTTTTCTAGACAACTGCTTAGAAGAACCCATGGTGCTGATTGTTGGGGCAAGGTCAGATGAGTCTGGGCATTTAAAACCTTTGAGATTGACATAACCTGGTCTTCCCAGACGATGATTGAGAACAATCCATGACACTGGCAGGTCTCAGCTTTGCAAAGGGGGCAGTGCATGCTATAAATTCTGCAGGGTGCCCAAACTTTTGCAGACGCCATTTTTTTGTTTTCTGTTATTTTGAAAGTGTAAATGATGGAAATAAAATCTAACTTTTGTTGACATATTATAAGAAAGTCTAATCTGTAATTTGATGCCTTTTGGAGATTTTTCCATCTTTCCTTGGCTTCTTTTATGCACATTAATACAAATTTTTAGCTGGGGTGCCCAAACATTTGATCCCCACTGTACAAGTGTCTCCCGAGTAACGTACTTATTTAAAGGCAATCTGTCACAAAACAAGATACATGTCTCAAAAGTTTTAGAAGCTATTGGGGAAGCAGTCATTATCCATCTCTGGTGTATCCCAAATCTGATCCAGGGACTTCATCTACACTGAATTGATTCGGTTTCACCTGGACCTGGGATCTGGAGAATGGCAAGCGTTATATGAGATTATTTGATTGGGATCTTTGCTTTGTGATGGTTCCCTTTAATTCACTTTCTCTTTTTTCTGTCCTAATATGTCACAAAAACTGCTCCAGGTCAGCAGAGATGGAGGAATTAGTGAACCTGACAGAGAGGGTCCTCAGGTAACAACCTTAAAAGCTCTGAGATAGAAAATTTGGGCTACAATCGGATCTTGCTCCAGGTCTGTGGTCAAACTGGTCATGGAAAATCATCCTTCATCAATTCTCTGAGATACGCCATGCATGGTGGCAGATTTGAGGCAACAGCTTCTGAGGCATCGGCAGCTGAAAGCTTCGGAGGGAAAACCCGGAGAAGAACATCGTACCGTCTGACTGAAGTCATCACCCTGGTGGACAATCGAGGGTTTGGAAAAGCAGACAGCTATGAGAAGGAGGAAATTTACACTCAGCTTGGTCAGTGTTCTTTATTCATGTCTAATAATTGTACAAATTCTAGTGCCAGCATTCAGTAGAGGCCATCAATGCATTACATGAGATCCTCCCCGAGGAGCTTACACTCTAAACATCCCACTGCTGTCCCAGCATTTTAGAATAATATTGTTTTTGCATATAAAAGTGTTTTTTCTGCATTATCCGTGTAACTTTACAAAGGACATAGAATTGTTCACCATCAAGCCCTGTCACTCAAATCAGCTCAAAATCTAATTTGTCTACAACTAAGGACATTAAAAGTGGTTCCATAGGCTCAGGGTTTATACCTTAAAGTGTTACTAAAGAACCCCCACAGTACAATCAGTCTGTAGATGCAGCAAATCATGCTGGTTATACTCACTGTGGAACCTAAGGGGTTAATCTCTGCATTGTGCAAAAAGGCTTTTTTGATCTTTTCTTCTCTGTTCCTCCCCTTTTTCAAGTGACCACCGCTTATCTCCAAACTGAACTGTAGGCATGCACATGCTCAGTTTGGTGTATATTGCTAGAAAGTTTTTATTTTTTATTTTTGGGAGAGTGCATGTGATCAGCACACAGGGCCAATCAGCACTGTCCAGACAGAGGTCAGGGGATTTCAATCCTCCTAGAGCAGAAAGAAAACTCCTTCTACAAGCTTTAGCTAGTGCTGGTCTGGACACTGATAGAAGTCACAAGACTTTCTATATACTGCTGATGAGAAAAGGTATTATATTTACTAAAATAATTGCACTTCCATGTTCTATGTACTGTGGGAGACTAGATATAGTGTATGCAGGGTCCGGGGAGAGCGGATATAGTGAATTCGGGGTCCGGGGTTGGAAGAGCAGAAGTTCGGGGTCTGGGGAGAGCGATATAGTGAATGCAGGGTCTGGGGAGAGTGGATATAGTGAATGCGGGGTCCGGGAGAGCGGCATATAGTGAATGCGGGGGTCCGGGGAGAGCGGATAGTGAAAGCAGGGTCTGGGGAGAGCGGATATAGTGAATGCGGGTCCGGGGAGAGCGGATATAGTGAATGCGGGGTCCGGGGAGAGCGTATATAGTTGAATGCGGGGTCCGGGGAGATATAGTGAATGCGGGGTCCCGGGAGAGCGGATATAGTGAATGCAGGGTCCAGGGAGAGTGGATATAGTGAATGCAGGGTCCGGGGAGAGCGGAAATAGTGGATGCGGGTCCGGGGAGAGCGGATATAGTGAATGCGGGGTCCAGAGAGAGTGGATATAGTGAATGCGGGGTCCGGGGGAGAGCGGACATAGTGAATGCGGGGTCCGGGGAGAGCGGATATAGTGAGTGTGGGGTCCGGGGAGAGCGGGGTGAATGCAGGGTCCGGGGAGAGCGGATATAGTGAATGCGGGTCCGGGGAGAGCGGATATAGGTGAATGCGGGGTCCGGGGAGAGCGGATATAGTGAATGCGGGGTCCGGGGAGAGCGGATATAGTGAATGCAGGGTCCGGGGAGAGCGGATATAGTGAATGCAGGGTCCGGGGAGAGCGGATATAGGGATGCAGGGTCTGGGGAGAGCGGATATAGGGAATGCAGGGGGAGAGAGGATATAGGGAATGCAGGGTCCGGGGAGAGCGGATATAGAAGCGGAATGCGGGGTCCGGGGAGAGCGGATATAGTGAATGCAGGGTCCGGGGAGAGCGGATATAGTGAATGCGGGTCCCGGGAGACGGATATAGGAATGCAGGGTCCGGGGAGAGCGGATATAGTGAATGCGGGGTCCGGGGAGAGCGGATATAGGGAATGCAGGGTCCGGGGAGAGCGGATATAGGGAATGCAGTGGTCCGGGGAAGCGATATAGGGTCCGGGGAGAGCGGATATAGTGAATGCAGGGTCCAGGGGAGAGCGGATATAGTGGATGCGGGGTCCGGGGAGAGCGGATATAGGGAATAGCAGTGTCCTGGGTTTAGTAACACTTTAATGCATTCTTTGCATAAAAATAAAAAGCCTTCTGTACAATAACATTTCCTCCTCAGCTGATCTCAATCCAGCCATGTGCACAAGCGCAACGGCTCTCACCTCTTTCTCCTTCCCCACAGTGCAGATTGATAGTATCAGGACTCATTGGCTTTCACTGCCGTCAATCAAATCCTATGATAAAAGAGTGGGGACGGGGATGTACTCCACTGTCTGTTTATGGACATAAACAGCAGGGCTCAGGAGTGAGCCCACACCAGTGCCCCCATAGGAAGCGGCTTCCTATTAGGGCACTCGCTGAAGAGGAGGAGCCAGAAGCTCCAGTGGGGGACCCAAGAAAAGCAGGCTTAAGGATGTGATATATGGAGAGGAGATATGATAGCGGTATACAGATACCTCAATGGTGATCCCAACAGAAAACTATTCATCTTCAGGGACCTTAAGAAGACATGTGGCCACTCCATGAAATTGGAGAAGCAGTTTAACCTTAAAGCGGAGCTCCACCCAAAAGGGGAGGTTCCACTTTAAGGACTGCCCCCCTGCTCCTTATTAAGGATTGGCACCTTTGGGGTGCGGGGAGGGATCGGGTACCTGAATTTGACAGGTACCCACTCCCAATTCTGGTCCAATCGCCTAGGTGATCGGAAGCGGAAGGTGTCCTCCCTCCCTCCCTGTAGTCTTTTGAGACATGTGACAGGTCCCACAAGACTACAGGGCCTTTCACACAGTACAGCACTTCTCGCGCATGCGCAGTGGGTACCCGGCTGTGAAGCCGCAAGCTATCGCAGCCGGGTGCCCACACTGAAGATGCCGGCCTCCTGGAATACAGGACGGCTGGTGACATGGGCTGCGGGGGACACACCACGGGACAGGTAAGTGGCTGTTTTTTTAAAGTCAGCAGCTACAGTTTTTGTAGCTGCTGACTTATTTTTTCACAGGGTGAGTGGAACTCCGCTTTAAACTGCACAGGGGATTCTTTACTTTTAGAGCAGTAAGAATGTGGAACTCCCTTCCACAAGCAGAGGTGTCTGTGGGAAGTATAAATAGTTTCAAATGACTCTTAGATGGACATCTTAGTGAATGCATACCTCTCAACTTTTTGGGATGGAAACGAGGGACACCTACTAGCAAATGTATGAGGGCATAGTGTCATGGAAATTTTGTATTGTTGGTCGAAACTTTAAATGTGTCATATATTCGTGTTATTCAAATGTCTCTCGTGTGGCTTAATTAAAGCTCTGAAGGCTGCAATTGGGCCATGCGCATGTACAATGTATGTATTACAGTACTCAGCTTGGTAATGGATGAGATGGCAGATCTGCGCTTATAGACCGGCGTGTATACCACCACGGCATTCGATGCGAATGTCGCTGGCAGTAGACCGTGGGCCTGTATCCACATATCAGCAGCATAGTACCACATGGGCTTCATAACGCAAGGCGCCAAGCGGTGTGAACTCCACGTGTAGGCTTATGCATATCTTACAACCCATTACCAACTTGAAACTGTATCTTGGATGGATGTGTTTTTAATAAAGATCGTACCGGGCCCATCCAGGTACAGACTGATATTTTTAGGGAATACTTGTACAAGGGATTTGCATGCCAATGGGAGCTAGTAGGACAGGAAATATGACCTCAGATGGCTCATGGGGGGAAGGGGAGGAAGTCTGCTGACCTCAGAAGGCTCATGGGGGAGGACCAGTGATAGATAATAGGAAAAGGTATGCTCCAATCGGAATGTACATCCTGTGTATAGGCACTCCCCATTGCATTGTTCGGTGGGAGGGGATTGACTTTATTCATGTGGGGGGCATGTGTGTATTTTTAATAAAACCAGGGGCTGAGTCTGAAACCGGCCCTTATGTGAATTGCAACACCATCCTGAGAGTGTCGTTTGATCATTCTAGGGTAACGGAGCTCCACCCCCACATCTCAACAGAAGCTAAAAAGTAGTTGGATGGGCAGGAATCGTGTAGTTTAGCTGCAGTCGTGGTAAGCAAGATTCGCACAGCTTTATGGGGGATTTCTGCGCATCCAACTGCGAGTACTCACGGTAAGGAGAAATTCGTTAAAGCGAATTTCCAAGACAATAGGGCACACCCCCTGTCAAGCCCCCTTAAAAGGAGAATTATACAAAAAAAGATTAGTTGAACCCACAAGTGCTTTTTTTTACCATTTTATTCCTTTATACTGGCTTTTTGAAGTTTACAAATACAACAATTTAGAAATTGGAGCAAAGGTATAGCTCTGGGAAACACTTTTTGAAAGATAAAAAAGTGCATTTTATATACAACTATTCAGCATTCAGCAAGTCTCAAGAAGAATCTGAGCACAGGATTCAGAAATGTAAGACAAAAGTACTAACCATTCAGTGCTGGGGCAGGATTATGGTTCAGGCTTAGGGCCAAACATGTTAGGTTAGGATTATGGTGAGCTATGTTAGGGATAGGTTACAGGTTAGGTTCATTATTCCATGCACATTATTTCCCCCCATGCTGAAAATCTGCTAAGAGCTTCTGGTGCTGAGATCCGATTTACCACAACCCAAGAGTTAGGCTAAGATTCATGGTATAAGGCGAGGGCTAATTTAAAGGGTTCCACTAAGAGTTCTGAGCTAATCTTAGAGGAGGGGATTGAGACGGCTGAGTTTGGGTTAGAGTTGGGGTCAAATTTAGGGACTGATTGAATGGCTGAGATAAAGAATGAGGGTCACGTGTGAGGGTCTAGGGTTAGGGTAGTTTAAAGATAGGGATGGTGGGTTGGTGCAACGTAAGGGCAAATTTTAGGGGGTTATGGTATAAGTTATAGGTTAGGACCAAGTGTTTGGGTTTGGGGGTATGGTGATGATATGGCTGAGTTGGTTAGTTTGGGTTGGTGTCACAATAGGGGTAGGGATAGGATAAAGATCAGGCTTATTATTCCCACACTCACCTTATATTTGTTTTCACTTTTAGAAGCCCCGCTGTGAAGAATTAAAGTGGTAAATAAAGGCTCTTTTTTCCTTTTTAATAACAAACATGTTTATACTTACCTGCCCTGTGTAATGGTTTTTGCACAGCAGCAGCCCCAGTCCTCCTCTTCCCAGCTGATGCTCCAGGCTCCTCCCCCCTGCCCAGTGCCCCCCATAGCAAGTCTTTTGCTATGGGGCACTCATGCCTGCTTTCTCCTGAGCCCTGCTCTGTGTGTCTCTGTTGGACACACAGATTCACAACGCACACGTTCCTGTAGAAATAGGGGTGTATATAAGTGGGTGCTGAAGCAACCACCGACTGGAACCGTGAATAATCAGAGCGAGAAAATATCACCAGCACACCATGGATCTCCAGAATGGGTTAAAAGCAGGGGCGGACTGACCATTCAAGCACTCGGGCACTGCCCAAGGGCCTGGGGTCAGTAGGGGGCCCCATGAAATGCCCCTGGTACCTTTTTTATAGGCTTTTTTGAGTGTGGGCAAGGACACAGGTGCCCCATGATCCCCTATTGCCTGGGTGCCCCATGAGTTGTCAGTCCACCCCTAGTTCGAAGCTTTATTCAGTGATCACATCGTTGCAACAAATAGCAACATTTCGGAGCCCTCGCAGCAGAACCCAGATCATAAGCCTGATTAAAGGGCCCTGCGAGGCTCCAACATATTGCTATTTGTTGTAACGATGTGATCGCTGAACAAATCTTTGGACCCATTCTGGAGAATCCATGGTGTGATGGTGACATTTTCTCGCTCTATAGTACACACCAAGAGAAGCTCAGCCCTGCCCCCGCTCTCTCCTCACTGGCTTTAATTGACAGAATCAGGAACCACAAATCAGATACAAACCTACACTGAAACATGAGAGTCAGAGCAAAAACATCTGAATAGGATTTGTGGCTTTGGGGTCACATAGGTTACTCTTAATACAGATTGATAAGTATGACCCTCTATGACCCTTGATGAGTATTTTCCTTGTCAGTCCCATAAACATTTAGAAAGTGTGATAATCTTCCATATATATTTCAGGAAACTTGCAGCCTCTGGATGAAGAGGTGATTTGGGAAAGTTGTTTTGATAAGAGGATGAAAGCAATAACCGCGGCCAAAACTTAACTCCAAAGACCTTCTACTGCCGATATTCATCTACAGGTGACCTTCTATCATTATTTGTGGTTTCTTTGGGCTCCTGCCCTGCGCTTTTTCATCAGAACTTCACCAGAGATTAGATAAGATTCCACTTGACACTATGGGAAATAATCTGTTTCTATGTGCCTGGGAAAGGTTTGAGGGAAAAACATTTAAAAGAACTAGCGGTGTGAACCTCCTGCGCTAATAATCCCTAGATAAGTGTCCTATTAAGAGAAGCTGCTAACATTAAATCATATACCCGTGATCTGTGGTTTAAAATCAATAAATAAATGTAGCGCTACTCACATATATAATAAATGAAAAAATACAAAATCAATAAATGTACCCTTATGTGAATAAATAACTAATGACAAACCGTGTAAAATAAAGCACAATGGTGATACAGAAAAAAAAAAAAAAAAAATATTCACAAAATGTGTCACAATCAAAAAGTGAAATACCTTGTGAAA